GTCAGATACTTTACGTTTATTGCACCCAAGGACCTACTGAAAACTGAAGACATTTTACAACAAGCAATTTGCAATGAAGAATGTACCGCTGTGGTTGGGACAGTCTAACAGAAGATGTTGATTTCTCGTTTACACACAACAAAAAGCATCGAACTTGCATTGCAAAGGGAAAGGATATGCTGGTCAGGAATCTGTCAATTGTACTAAACGAGGTACATGGGTGACATCCTCATCAAATAAAAGGAAAGTGTCACCATCTTTTGTAATGGGGAGGGCCAATACAAGGTGAACGACTTAGCATTCACTTGAATATTCAAGTGAATGCTAATTCGTTCACCTTGTTTTGGCCCTCCCCATTACAAAAGATGGTGACACTTTCCTTTTATTAGATGAGTATTCCCCCAAAATTCCGTACGGGTTATCGCCCTGATAAACCGATACTATCACCTCGTTCTCGCAAAGGAGTCGGTGCAAAACTCTTGCGCAGTTAACCAAATAAGAGTTAGAGGTTTTTAATTTTCCCTTACTTTCGTGTATGTTTCATTTTCTCCCTGAATTCATTCTCCCACGCATGCGCTTTGATAGCGCGTATCCCAGAAATCACTTGGTTCGTCGAAGAAATTCGCATATCAGATTCCGCTGCTGAACGCAGACGCAGAGCGGCATTGACAGAAGACATCTCTGCGTAATACGATAGAAGAAGACAGAGAAATATCTCTCCCATAAGAGCCTGCCAGCCAATCAGATAAGCGATTATAAACGTTGCAGGCACGATTTGGAGTATGCCTGAGTTCATTGTTAAAATACATCTAGGTGCTGCCTCCATCCGCTGAACATCATTTGACATCAGGTCGATCACATGCCCTGCTGAAAACTTTGACAATGAGCTCTTGCTTAGTAGTAAGATCTGAGAATGAAACAAAATCAAAACTAGAGTCAAAGTGGCCTCCAAATACAAAGGCGTAGCTAGAGGAGCCCTGAGATGCTCACTCAAATCTTATAATCCAGGTTTGCTAAAAGGTGTAAATCTAGAGAACCTACAGCTGAGGAATAAATATTTACAAAGCTGGTTATTCTTTTCCGCTGCGAAAATACCAACCCGATGATTCATAATGTTGCCGAGGAAAGACAGAATGCAGTTTAGATTACTTACTTAGATCTTTGACTGAACATTTCTCGCACTACTTCGAGAGGCCAGGGTTAGCAATAGTAGTGTACCATAAGGCGTAGAGAAAAGTTTGGAGACAATTAAGGAAGATTGCACCCTTTTCACCAGCCCTTCTTTGACTCGTCGCAAGTCAAGTAACACGAGGGGCGAGTTACACGAACAGGATTGGAGCGTGAATGGCAATGGAAAGGCAGAAAACAAGAGTGCTCTTTTCCTGTTCCGTCTCTCTTTTCTTCTCCACTTAAGCACTGCCCATATTTTTTAGATGATTGGGGACTAGTAAGCTAACCTACTTGTGCTTACCTTTTGGTAAACGAGACCTTTTACTGCGGTACTCAGTCTGATGCCCAATAATTCACCCGCGTAGTTGTAATGTTGCATACCGATGCTCCCGACCAAAGCGTTTACAGCTGTGGCAGTTGCTAACATGCAACCACGAAGGATGTTATTCCCGTGTTTTTCAGGTTCCATTAACATAGAAATCAGATATCCAATGAGCAATGGTGAAAGGAGGGAGCCGATTGCGAACAAGACACTCCCGCAAGCAATAACAGCAGTTTCCCCGGGGGAAATCATCTTTACAATACTTTTCCACAGCTTCGGTCTTTTTTTCTTCCCAATGGATTTAGCTAATTCTTCTTTCCATTTCTTGTTCAGAAGTTCTGTGGCTGACTGTGAGGTGTTCTCTTTTGAGAGTGGTACAAAATCGCCTTCCTCCAGGGCTCGTTTATTGCCTGTTTTCATGACATCGTTCATCCATTGGAATAGAAGGAGAGAAACAAAACCCAATTTCTCAGCAGAGTCATTGGTAGAGGAGTTCTTCCTGTAACCATTCGATGCCATGATTCTAAACCTCTAGTCAAATAACGATTAAAAAAAATTAATATTAACGTCTCTCACTGAGAAATCCAGGTCCCTGTTCGGATTTAACAACTGCATTAATACTATTTATAAAAAGGAGGAACGAGAGAGCGCTTTTGTAAATAGAGTATCAGGGATACACACGTCATTCGATAGTTTATCCATCATAGTCATGATAATCTCGTACCCAGATCCTACCGTTTAACTGGTGGTATGCTACACATACAACCCACAATTCCTCCATTCGCTCGATAAAGTCTCTCTGTCTGTCCATAGAGTTTGAAGTGCTCTAGTGTCGCATTAGGTTGAATTAGGTCGACTTGGAGTCAATACGCTAACGGACTTAACAGTACCAAGTGTATTGCGATGTTCTGGCAAAAATGTGGAAAAGAATTTGAGAGAAATGAGTTATTCTGCCGTCGATGTTTTGTTCAGAAAAATACCATGGTATTTCTATGAACTTGAAGGCTTTAAAGAGAAGGTTGCGTGAGAAGGAGAAATGGAGTCCATTCAGAGTTCGGGAGATAATTAAACGTGAAATCGAAGGCCCTTAATCACTTCTTTTTCTAAAAACTGAACAATTGTATCATAACGAAATCCTCTTTCAAAATACTGTTCAATGGCAGATCTCTCATCTGACGAGCTGTGCAACACATTTTTCTGTTCGGGTCTCTTTAAAGTGTCACATCGACGGCAGAATAGCTCATTGCTATCATATTCTTTTCCACATTTGTAGCAGAACATCTTAATACACTTGGTACAGTTTAGTCCGTTCGCGTAGTGACTCAAAGTCGACCTTATGCAACCTGGTGCGACACGACGTGCTGTATCGTGACAAAGTGTCGAACACTGGCGCAAGTGTCACGTGACAAAATATTTTTCTCGACATGCGAAAATTTTCTGGATTTTGGAAAGATTCTTGGATTGTAATCTATTTTCGATTTTCATGAAAGTTATTTGTGGATCTATGAATTAAACCAGGATTTGAAATCGCCTTCTCGACTTGAAAAACTTTTCAAAAGCGGTTTGTCTAAAAGATATAGATTCTAAATATTTTTTCGGATTGTCCCTTTTCGGCTTTCGTAATTTTCTCTCAAGGACACCTAAGAGCTTTTCATCTCTCCGTCACGAACAATCGAGCGTTTTCATTCTTTGTTACCTAGGTCTCGGCCATAAGCAGAAACCATTGCACGAAGGCTATCAGGCTCATAATCGCTACGGCGGCCAATTTGCATTTAACTCAGTTGATAACTGGACAACTATTCACCGAAGTGAAGACGGCTGACGGTGAATATTTATCAAGCCGCGAACCGACGAGATAAATATCTACCGCTATCCACCGACAATAGTTATTTTGGTACATATTAAAACATTGAGAAAATAAAGCACAAAAATATGATTTTAACACATTTACTCATGCAACGATTACAAGATTTAAGGGTATATCACCCGCAGTTGCTCAGAGGTGAATAGGAAACGATATTCGGAGTTTTAAGCCGATCAAAGCGCACCTTCAATGCTCTCCACTGTTTTAGTACCTCCTAAAACTAAATTATCCTTTGATAACTCCATTGACGTAGCACAACAGTTTCTTTGGATTCTTACCTCCCTGGTTCATTTCTTACGCACTGTTATGTGAAATGTTCGTGTCGTGCGTATCTAGACTTTCTTCATAGCCGTGTTTGGAAGTACAAGACTTCCGGACTTTCAGCCAGTTGTTTGTGCTTCGCTGGGGCATTTTTTGTTCTTAGCATTGCCCTCCAAACTCTCAAATAAAACGTTGTTACTTGTTACTAACCTGCCCACCAGTTTGTTTTGGCTATCGTGACTTTCGTGCCAATCAATTAAACTAAATTTCAACTTTCAGCACTGTTTTTCTTTTTCATGTAAATCATAACTTCTTGAATTTGACTTTTTTGGGGCGTAAAGTAAATTTAAGTAACTGAGAGATCAAGTGATTAAGACCTACCAGCTCACTTCGTTTATCGTTTTTTCCCCTGGATTCCGTATTCAAACGCCAGCAATCAATGGTGATCGCTACTGGAGCTTCGCACACAGAAATCCCTCGTCAATTATTTGCATAACTTGCGTCGTTTGTAAGAGATAGTGTACTGAGTACACTATCTCTTACATACGACTGCACTTAGCTTATTGGCCGTTTATTAACCGTCATGCTTCTATGAAGACTGAGCGTGTCCGGTTACACTCCTTGTTCTGTCAGCCAAGAGGAATGAAGAAATCTTTTCGCGTATATCTTTAGTCATTGCAACAACAGTCACACAGAGTGAAAAAGGCTTAACTGAGAACAAGGGCAAATTTTCAACCTAGGATTTTAAAGCCGATAAGGCTGGAACTTTTCCTTCTCGAATTTAGATGAAGAACTCACAAAGTTTAGGAGGGACACTGCATATTGTAGAGTCTTTTGTTTCCTATTCGATAACGCATCGTTATGTGTGGCGTTTGGTGCTTATTTCGAAAAAGACATCAAAACTGAATTTTTTTTAATATTTGAAACCAATATTACCATTATCGAAAAGGAAAAATCGTTTTTCGTCTCCTCTTGAAGAAAAGTTTTTTGTTCTTCCCAGCCCTCTGTTTATTTTATAACGCTAACCTTAGGTAAGGAACAATTCGATGATATTGCATCCAAATCCTCTGGACTGACGCACAAAACAGTGAAGTGGAGTTAAGATGTTTTCCCTTTGCTTTAAACTTTGGGTTCAATGCTTCGCTTCGTGAAAACTGAAATATGACGGTCATACTCGATGGTCTGTTGCTCCAAGATAAACGTATGCACACATCACTCAAATACATCATTGACCACAACTTAAAAGCAGACAGGAAAATTGAAGGGGGTGAAATAAATTAATTTTATCGCTAATAACGCTAAAACAAATCTTTTTAAAAGGCGCGACCCGTGACCCGCGATACGCGACCAGCAGTCAAACTCGTATAGATCGATAGACCGTTCTGTTTTTCGCCTGAACATCAATTTTTGTTATCTTTTTTATCAGTAGATGACCTTTTCTATCTGTTAACTCATACAATAAATTTTTCCGTTTTTAACCTTAGGCCTGAAACAAACATCCACTCAGGAGTGGAGCGTTCCCGCATCGTCCACTAATAGAAAAGTACCCCCCCCCCCCCAATGTAAATCATGGCTCATAAATTTTCCCCTAGCCTCTCTATCCCCGTCCCCACCCCTAAAATAAAGCCTGACACAGCACGATGGTTAACTAACGCTATCTACAGGGAGAACAAAAATATGAGAATTGCGCGGTTTCCTTCATAAATCAAATAAGTTTGGAAGAATAAGTATCAATCTCAGTGTTTTGATCTGCACTTTCTTCTCACTAACTTCTCCAAGGTGTCCAACAACCGTTCTTTAGGGCAACATTCCGAGCAAGCGGATCTGAAGGTTTATTTAAAGGTGGCACAACAGTCTGTTTGTAAAAGTGTAGCCTCTCTTGTAATTTGTTTACCACATCCGGGAGCTTCTGGCTCAGGTCTGTATGTTCTGTGGGGTCAGCGGTGATGTTATACAGAGCAACTTCGACAAGCCCTCTATCATGAAAGTTCTGAAATATAAATCAATATGTAAAGGAAGTCTAATCGACCCCTAGCTCAATAACAACAGCTTAAGGTTTGAAAAATTATATTAGTATCAAAAAACTATCTCTTTCTTTTAGTCAAAACACAACAACTACAAAAGGCTACAGTATCTAGTCTTACATCAGAATTATTTCACTCACCATATCATAAGTGCTCCTTTCTCGCAGTTCAGGGGGTTTAAACCATGTTGAATTGGGGCAGGACACTAGCAACTTCATGTCACCGACGCGAATTGCCGCTCCCTGATATGGTGGGTCATCTGACATCATCTCACGGAGTTTCTCTTCTGGAGCTAAGTCGATATTAAGAAGAATTTCTGTTCTTGGGGAAGGTTTCCCTTTGGAAATTGTGTCCCACACATCAAAGCCATCTATAGGTACTGGAGAATCGTCAACTTTACCTCCTAAATGACAGAAGTTCGAAACATTTTCAAGTCCGAAGAATCTTAGCCACAGCTAGTCTCCAATTTTTATACCATGGTAATTTACTATTATCAACTGAGTTGATAACGTAAATTGGCTACCGTAAAGAGTTTTAAAGCTGACGTTTTGAGCGTTAACCCTGCGTCTTTCGTTCTGACGAAGGGCTAACGCTCGAAACGTCAGCTTTAAAACTCTTTACAGTAGCCAATTTACGTTATCAACTCAGTTGCTAATACCAAATTACCTTGTTGTATTCTCCCACCGACGCAGCACCACAGTTTCTTTAGAAACTTACCCCATTTATGCAAATTTGTATGTTTTAGCGGTACGACTTGCTCTAATTTGCTCTTATTATTCTTTCAGCTCTCGTAAAAAAATGATGGCGATATAAGCGCAGCATCCCATGAGGGTGACATAAGCACAACTTACTGTCAGAGGACCTCTCTCCTGAAGAGTGTTTAATGAGTACTGGAAAACTGTAAAGAAATCATGAGAAGATGCTCGGGGATAACTTGTGTTGTATCCTATCCAATAAGAGTTATAGTGCTCTTAGTTGCATGAAGGAAACCAAGATAAACCCTGGCAGTGTAACTGAGCCTCTTAAATCGCTTGAGGTAATCACAAAGAACAAGTTGTTGTTGGACACACCCTTTCCCTGCCTCGAACCCAGACTTCCCTCAGTTTAAAAACCAATAAGCGCAAAGGAAGAATGGAGCAAGAATTTCTCTCCTCCCCTTGTCCTTCGGGCTTTGTTTGTCACCAGTCGCTTGCACATCGCGCTTGTTCCTCAGAGTGCAGATGAGAGAACCCTTGAAGAGGCAGGTTACCACATGGCTTTTTTCAAACAAGATTTCGTTGTCATAAGAACATGAAGTTTCTGCATCAGCTAACCACAGTTAAATCCCAAACATATCGGGGTGGTTTAAAACACGATTGGGATAACCCACAGTGAAAACAAACTTTTGATTTACTCCAGCAGCTTTGCGGACAGTTTTCAAATGTTGGTTTTTTTTGCATCACTTTTGCCTCAAAATATATAATAACATAGCTAGTAAATTTGTCTAATCAAATTCAATTGCGCGAACGTGCTTCATTTTCCTGTTGTGCACGCTCATGACGTCAGCAAACAAATCCCTCGATAAAAAAATTTTCCATCGGGTCGAAAATGTTATAAAACAATTGGTTCATGCGTCAGCTTTGCGTTCATCGAGATATGAAGCACTTGGGAAGTTTGGAGAACACTCAAGAAGCTAGAGTTGCTCTCGGCTACGCCTCTAGCAACCCTTACGCATCTTTCGTGCTCTCCAAACTTCCCGCGTGCTTCATATCTCGATGAACGCACGTTGATGTATGAACCAATTGTTGATTGAAAGTGTTTTAAAACAATTGGTTCATGCGTCAGCTGTGTGTTCATCGAGATATGAAGCACATGGGAAGTTTGGAGAGCACTCAAGAAGCTAGAGTCGCTCTCGGCTACGCCTTTAGCAACTCTTACGCATCTTTCATGCTCTCAAAAACCAATTGTTAACTAAAACACCACAAAACTATCTTGCGTTTTCATACAGGATGAATTAGAACCAATTTTACCCTCGCAGCTTTGCGGACAGTTTTCAAATGTTCGCTTTTTTGCATCACTTTTGCCTTCCAATAAACTAAAACCTCACAAAACTATTGCACCTTTTCAAACAGGATGAATTTGAAACCAAATTTAACGTTTGATAAGAGTTAAGAGTTGAACGACTTTTGAACAACTGGTCCCTGAAGGATTAAAGAAAAAAACTAACAAACAAAAAATAAGGATTTTGGTCATTAAATAATGGGGGACAACATCAAAATTTCGAGAGAATATTGTTGTATTTTAAAATCTGTTGCGATAAAAAGGTACCTTGCTGCACTTGTATCTTACCTGCAAGTTTTATCAGAGTAGGATACCAGTCAGTTGAGTGAAGTAGTTCTCTGCTTTTAACGCCTTTCCTCTCCAACATATTTCCATGGACAAAAGCCACGCCCCTAACCCCTCCCTCCCAGAGGGTTCTCTTCTGACCTCGCAGTGGCCAGTTGTATCCACCTGCTTCTGGTAGACCTCCATTGTCAGTTGTAAAAACAAATACTGTGTTTTCCCATAGACTAAAAGAGAAAAAGAATGATGAATGAAGGAGAAAAAAGAAGGAAAAGGGGATGAATAAGAGAGAAAGAAAATATGAACATTACTTTTACATAAATTGATTGCAGGTGAGCTGCTGACATGCTTGGTTGTTGCAAAAAGATCAGGAATCTATCACTTGATTAAGTTCTATTTCCTTTCAAATCCTCCCCAAAAGGGGTTTGTTCTTCATCTCCTCCTCAGATAAGGAATTTCAGGGGCTGGAGGAAGAGTGTAGGCTCATGTCCCAAACAGCAGTTGGAAATTTTGCCTACTGTTCGGTAATAATAATAATGACAAGAACACTAGGAATAATAGGAACAATTTGTGAAGTGATTTTGGGTGGGGGAAATGTGCAAAATCAAACCTTCCCAGATTTAAGATATCCAGAGGCTAATGTCTGCACTGTCTACAAAGTTAGGAGCAAAGTCACTTACCCTGATTTTTCCAGACTCTTTGTCACATTGCCAATTGCTTCATCTGCAATATCCAACATGGCAGCATATGTTCTCCTTATCTTGTTATTTATGAAGCTGTACTTGTCAATATATTTTTGTGGAGCTTGCACTGGGAAGTGGACATTTTGAAAAGGCAAGTAGAGGAAAAGGGGCGTTGAAGAGTCGTGGTTATCAATAATCTTCTGTGCTTGCTGTGAATCCAATTAGATATAGAACAACTTTACCCAACACACCAGAGGAAAAAATCAAAGTACTGCCCTTAAAATCTCACACCAAACACCTCTACAAGTAAGCCTAAAATATTCATTTTGTCAAAAATTTTCCTTACTCTGGTAAATAGGTTTGCAGAATATGTTCCATTCATGTCTCGTACAGGGGACGTGTTATCTCTGAGATCCAGAATCCCAAGCCGTTCGTGTGTGTAGTGATCCCCACATCCTGTGTAAAACCCGTAATGTGAGTCAAATCCCCTGTAGGTTGGGGTGTATTCCCATTCATAGAAGCCAAGATGCCATTTTCCAACCATGTGAGTGGCATATCCTGGAAAGAAAGAATTCAGCAGATTTTTTTTAGTTTACTCAAAGTCAAAGCTAAGCATTTTGATAATGTTTTAAGCTCATGTTTCCATAGAGGCAACTTTCCATGCTTGTCCAATGTTGTAGTTCATGAGGTTGTTAAATGCATTGCTCTAATTGGCTGTTATTTCCTGAGAGAAAAATGTCAACTATGCAAAATTCAGTAATGACATTCAGGGTAACATTGGTCATTTTGGAAGCCTTTCCCAGCCAAAAATAAAAAATAGGGTATATTCAAAATCTTAATCATTCTGCTGATTTTGAAATCTTCTGAAAAAAAATAAGAGCTTTTGAAGGCCATTGGTTAAAAAAGGAACCATCATTTATGTTTGTGAGTTGCAAAATTATTCCAACAATGAAGTCTCCTTTATTAGGTTACACATTTTTTTTTAATCATATTACATGTGGGAAAACTTATGAGTGGGAATAGACATTATATAAAGCAATAAGGAAATTTCATGGCTCCTGTATGAGATGTACCAACATCCTACTCAATGCTCATCAACACTCTTTTTTTGCCTTCATGACATTGAGAATGTGTGGTAATGGAACAGCAAAGGCAAAACTGGCAATTTTTTTTTATTACTTAACAGCTAAGAATTTTTTTATTACTTAACAGCTAAAAAATTAACCCTTTAACTCCTAGGAGTGACTGGATTCTAATTTCTCCTTACAGTATTTCCCTTGAATCAAATAAAAAGGTCATGAGAAAAATGGAAATGAGCAGCAATTTAAGAAGCTCTTGATTGTCCAACAAATTATCCTTCTCATCACCAAAGAAAGTGTATATAGAGAACAATATGGAGAATATGACTAAGGGTTAAACTGACGTTGTTCTTCATTATAACTACTTAACATCTGTGGATTAGGCTGTAAATTCCTTCAATGACATAAGGATAGAACTGACTCCTTATCCTCTATATCAAGGTAGAGCTTGTTATCCAGTTTCAGTAGCATGCAGCAACTAGGAATATCAGTATTTCTCTCTCCACAGGATACCAGTTCATGGAATAGTCTATAGTCATTGTGCCAGGTTCCTGCAAAAGGTTTTGGGTACTAACTTATACCCCTGGGTAGATAAACTAAGGCACTGTGAGATTAAATTGTCTTGCTCAAGAATACAACACAGTAACCCTACCAGGGTTTATACACAGACCTATCAATCCCCTAGGCCACACCTTGTCTAGAAAAAGAACCCATACCTGTGTGTATCTTTACTGAGAGTACCCTCTTTGGATTTCATTTTAAGGATGGGACATATACACCTTAAACCAGATGAACTTAAAAACCAAAAACTCACCAGCCTCTTTCAACTTCTGTGCCAAGGTCGTAATATTCAATGGCATTCCATAAGGCTGAGAAGGTTCAATGACAAAGTGCTGCAGGCCTAAGAACACAGCAAAGCACTGCAGAGTGAATCTTTTTAACAACATTTCTCTGTGATTGTGTGACTTACGCAAAGCAATATGTCACGCTAACAACGATCGCTGTCACAGTATTTTACAGGCACCGAGAAATTATGATCAGCGAAATCACGCGTTGTGTGTTCATATTCACGTACCTGTATGAATGGGATATCTTCCAGTCATGAGGGTACTTCGTGTTGGCGTACACAATGGCTGCACATAATAGTTGTCCAGTATGACTCCTTCGGCCGCCAGTGTGTTGATATTTGGGGTTTGAATTTTAGATCCTTGAAAACCTAAGTCACTCCAACCTAGATCATCGATGACAACCAGGACTATATGCGGAGATTTCAAGCTGCTAACTAAATGAAGAACAGCCAAGAAAAAATAAACGGAGAAAACGGCCGGAGACATCGTTAGAATTTCAGGTTTGCGTGCGTTTGTACAACATTATATAATGTCATGTGACTTAAAAACAAGTTAATTTGTGTCTCGTGACTGGAGACGGTCCTAGGAGGTCACTGACACATTAACGGGAAATCTTTACATTGATTGGTTTTGCAGAATGCGATCTACACTTTTACCACTTTTCTTAACTTTTTCTGCTGTATCTTTTGTTGTTCGAGGAAGTAGTCAGCCTTTGCATATCGTGTTGGTCGTTATTGATGATTTTGGTTGGAGCGATGTAGGATTTCACGGTTCCAAAATTCACACCCCAAACATGGACAAGCTTGCAGCCGAAGGAGTCATCTTGGACAATTATTACGTGCAACCGATTTGTTCTCCCACAAGAAGTGCTCTCCTCTCCGGCAGATATCCCATCCACACAGGTATATTATTAAAAGTTTCATCAACATTTTTTTTCTCTTTTTCTATATTATTTATCCACACATAGTGTGGCATTCTAGCCCATAGGGCAGCGTAAAGAAATACATATCAAGCATAAATTTTAGATTGACTGTTTAAGGGGTACATATTGGCTCTGATATTGAAGAACTTCAGGAAATCTCAAACCCTCTTCAACGATTAAATTTTAAACTATTTAAGTGCGTAGTATACAGTGAGTACAACGTGACTATCGCGTTGCGTTACAAGTCGATCGGTTGATTCTTCTATGTGTAAACAATATTTCCGTGGAGATTCACGATAGCGTTGTGAAAGGGCGTATCTTGTGGAGATTTTGACTTGTTGACCTTCCCCAGGGGTGATGGAATAACAAATTTTCATCTTTTACCTTGTTCAGGAATTAGTACTTTAAACAAATTATTTCGTTTTTGCCCTCTTCATTGTGCGTGGGAAATTCGTGCTCTTGTCAGTTCCTTCCAATTGACATTTACTCCACGCTGGGTAGCAATGTGTAAAACTGCCATTACAAAATGCAGTCGGCCTGCATGCGATTTTTCTCTCTTCAAGTAATATTGTTTTCATCAAGAAATTTCTTCCAGCTTTCTAAATGTTATTGGCACCGTTTCAAATAAATATTTATGAAATAATTATTAATGTTCTCAGGTTTACAGCATGGAGTGATACGGCCAGCAGAGCCATATGGACTACCACTGAACTTAACAACCCTACCAGAGATGCTCAAGAAAGCTGGTAAAATCTTTTAACAGTTCTTTGTTTTTGCTAATAACAAGTGATATTAAATTAAATACTGGTTGTTAAAACTGCTCTGATTTACATGAAGTCATGAAGATGTCCTTATCATACTTCTTGCATCAACCCTTTTGCTCCCAAGATCTCAACAGGAATTCCGCTTGATGGTCCATCCAAAGTGCTGATGTATAGGCTTAGTTATTAGGCATTTAGAGCCAAAATAGAGCACCTGATACATTAAGTCTTCTTAACCATTTTAGTTTTAGTGGATATAATAATTGGTAATAAATTAGCTATGTAAATGTAATTGTTGTGATTTTTTGGCAGGCTATGAAACACATATTGTTGGAAAGTGGCATCTTGGTTTTTATGAATGGCCTTATACACCAACGTACCGTGGATTCGATTCATTTTATGGTTTTTATACAGGGTCTGAAGACCATTTTAATCATGAAAAGTATGGTATTCTAGATCTGCATGACAACAAGGAGCCAGTAAAAGATAAAGGGGGATTGTATTCAGCTAGGCTGTTTGCTAAGGTAACAAAGAGTTATAGAACTGGCGAATACAATGGTCAGGGACAAAGCCAGCCTTTCAACCTGAAGGCTTGCAGGGCTTACCATTTTTTTTGGCCTGCTTGACATTTATAATATGACTCTTGCAAATGTTGAAACAAAACTTGAACTCTCATAGGGAACAGGCCTACAACCAGGTGAAAAGCTGGCTATACTTCTGATGGTCATATTGAAAAAATGCAATCCTTTAACTTCACATCTTGTCGCTTTTGAGCTCTTGATTTTGTTAACCCCCTTATCCCAATGATAGTCTTGCATTCAAGCATTGCCACATAAATATGAGGCCACTGATACTCAAAGTAGACCCACCATAGAAGCCACCTCATGCAAGATGCACAGAAATTCATAACCATGACCACCTCCCTCCCTCCCTCCCTCTAAATATCCTCTGCCCTTGATGATCTAGTCATCAATTCTCCTTATTGTCTACCACACACTTCTTATAGTTTTGTCACTGAGAATTTGGTATGAAATCAAACACATGATCCCTAGTTGATACACTTTCTTCTTCTCAACACCTTTTTTCTTAACCATGTTTTGATATTGTATGAAGAAATAACAAATTGATCACTCCTTGGAGTAAAAGGGTTAATGTGTTGAAAGGTAATAATTTGTTTGACTCCCCTCAGCAAGCACAGAAAGTTATCCTATCTCATAATGCCTCATCGCCGATGTTTTTATACCTGCCTTTTCAAAATGTACATGGACCAACCCAAGCTCCCCAAGAGTACGTGGACAAGTACCAATTCATTGATCAGAAGACAAGACGAGAGTATGCTGCAATGGTTGACATAGTTGATGAAGCAATTGGGAATGTAACACAAACTTTGGAGCAATCAGGGTGAGTGAAGAGTAGACAGAAATTTGCACTAAAATGTCAGTCCAAGTTACAGCTAACCCTTCCACTCCTAGAAGTGATTGACATGTAACTTCTATCAATAAAACATCCAAACATTGCCAGGGAAACAGGTTATGAGGATACTCAAAGTTAGCAAGTACAAGATGCCAAAATCTCATAACTAAATTTACAAGGAAATGTGTCACAGCTTCAGGGGAGAATTAACCATCAGATCTCGACAGTTAAAGGGTTAAAGTGCCCTTGTTATACAGTGACAGACACTTTGGACACTTTTAAGCTGTAATTTGAAGGAAAGAGTAACTGAAATGCTTTGCCAAGTAAACCAGAGAACTTGTGGCCATGCTAGGCTTGATGTTAGGATGGTATGCCTTGGTCAGAGTAAACAGTCATCTCCTACAAGCCTGTTTTAAGTTTGATTAGCAGGCCTTGTTTATCACATAAAACTGTGAATTACCGATCAGAATAATCTGACCTAACACAGGCATTGACAGGAAATTTCTTTCCTCCTTTTGAGGATCTTAATGTAGACCTTTTTACTTTATGTTTTGGTTTTGAAAAAATCCAGGTTGTTTGGCTGAATCCAAAATGATTTTTCTCTTACAAAGTCTTGCAATTACCATTTGCTATCCTGCACTGCAATAATTCCCATCACATTTAAACAATATTAGCAATTTGTGCTACATAAATGTGACCAATTTGTCTTGTAGTTTGTGGAATGACACATTACTGATTGTTACCACTGATAATGGTGGTATTCCTCCTGCTGGTGGATATAACTGGCCCCTCCGTGGTCACAAAGGAAGCCTTTGGGAGGGAGGGCTCAGAGGGGTGGGCTTTGTTCATGGAAAAATGCTGAAAAAGACTGGTGTCAAGTGTGCTGAACTCCTCCATGTAACAGACTGGTACCCAACTCTCCTTTACTTGGCAGGTAACAATTGGAAACCATTTTGTCTTTTACCTCAGATGGCTCAACTTGGGGAAGTGTAACAATGTTTTTGTGACAAGAAATAATTTACTTGCCTTCTGCTCAGGTTCATACCAATTGCTGTGTTTCTTGTACTATGCAATGTTGGGAAATCAGTGATTTTAGTAATACCCTGGTTAGCTCAATAATAATAATAATAATAATAATAATAATAATAATAATAATAATAATAATAATAATAATGATAATAGCTGTAATAATATTTCAAGAATGAGACCAGCACATCTGAAGAATATTTATAGTCTGGCTTCACAAATAAGGACTTGAGAAAATATGATTCCTCTACTTTCAGTGTTCCATGGTTAGTAAGGAGTGGTTAAAAACCTTACACCCTATTTTCACCTTGGGTGATGGCATTTGTTCCCCTCACATTTAAGTGGTTGGCAATGGAGAAACAAATTACAGGGTAACAGCCATGAGGCTCTTTTCTAGGGCATGAGACAGACAGGTATTTAAACTTCATATCTAAACAAATTTGGTTTACATTTCAAGGATTAACAGAGGGAGATTCCACTGTGCCTCCACTGGATGGTTTCAATATATGGCAAACAATATCAGAAGGTGCCCCTTCACCTAGAACTGAGATTCTGCACAACATTGACTTAGCACCAAGCAACAACAACTTGAGGGATATTGATGGTGGTTATGATGGAATTGCGATTCGGGTGAATGACATGAAGCTGTTGATGAGTGTGCCTAATCTCACATGGTATAAGCCTCCAGAATTATCTCCAGGGTACCAACAGATTGATCAGGTTCTCTGTTTTTATATTTTCTTTATAATTTTACTCTGACCATTAGCTTCCTTCTCATTATGTTTATGATGTGATGTGATCAACACATCTACTGCATGCACAAAAGCAGCCATTTCTTTCAACAGTACAGGGCATTTACGTGTTGCATATGAAACTGGCTTGCATACAGGCTCAAACACATCCCAGTTTTCCTAGCATGAACTGACCAGGAGTATATATACAAATGAAAGGAAATCTAAGAAAAAAAAAACTGTGGAAGAGTCCAGGAGAAAGCTTTTTTTTAATTAGTAATGGAGAAATTCTTTTGGGTGTTAACAGGGAAGTAAGGAACTTTGATGATAATCAGCAAAAGGTTGACTGAGATAAGTTAAGCACCAAGTTTCATGTGTAAATGGCTTTTTTTTTTTTTTGGAACATGACAACAATTCATTAATTTATTAAAAGACAAAAATGTCAATGCAAATGGAGAAAATATTCATACTTTGCTTTGTTTCACTTACAGCCATGAACAAGTATGCAGCATAGTGACTGTCTTCTTTTTATTAACAGAATTTGAGTGAACCCTCCATGATAAAGGTTGCACTGTACAACATCACTGCTGACCCAACTGAGCACATTGATCTCAGCAAGGAGCTTCCTAATGAGGTTGAGAAACTGCAGGAAAGAGTTCAGTATTATATGAAAGGGGTTGTCCCTTCTCTGAAGAAACCAGCTGATGAAATGGCAACAAAAGTAGCCAAGGAGGAAGGCTACTGGGGCCCGTGGAGAACCTAAATCATCTCTTTTTAAGTTTGGAATATTGTTTATCTTACTTGAGAGCTTGTCAGTAATAAAATGCTTCACAATGCACAGTGTGAGTTCCTACTTCCTCAGCTCAAAAAAATTGCTTGTTACTGAAGGTTTTGAAGTGCTTTTCCACTGCTTGAAGTACTAATTACATTTAATTACATATTGTCCAAATGAAAGGAGACCTTTCCCTGAGTACCCTGACACCAATTGATGTCCATTCACGTTGGCTGATCCACAGTTCTTGGGCAGAGTCTAAGATGCTAAGCACTGCACCACCTTTCCAACAAATTGTCCGTGGATCCATTTCCTGTCAAAAAAACAAAAAGAAAAATGAGTAAAAATTGTAATGTTCAAGATACCAGCTCACACAAATTCAGGATCATTTCATAAAAGTTTTCTGACTAAATTCAAGACATTTTCTGATTTTTTCTCAAATACAGGCAACAAAAAGCCAGATTGAGTACGGATGGTTCAGTAAGGTAAGAATAAACCAGATTGTCTTGAGGGTAAAAATGAAAGACATGATGATTGCAACTTTTTTTTTTCATAAGCAGAAAAAGATGAGAGCTTGAAAGTGCTGAATTAAAAACCAAAATGTTCTCACAAACTTGCATCATTCTCTAAAAACATCTGACAATAAAAGGTAAAAACCTTATTGCATTTTTCAACAATAGTTACCAAAACATTTTTTTACCTTGGGTCTTGCAATCACTTCAACCTGATCAACAAGTTTGCGGTGCAATGGAGGTAACTTTGCTTGTAAGCGTGACTGTAATGCAGCTGCAGCACCATTAAACATGAAACCGCCACCAATCAGTAAAACTGAGCTGTACATTTTACGCTTTGTTTCTTCAGGAGCAGCAGTATCTAGAAAACACAACAGACATGTTATGATGGTGTCTTGAATAAAAACAACTCTTGTGATTCCTTCTAAAGAGTAACTAATGGAGAATAGCCAGGAAGCAGGAGGCTCTCAATAGCTTTGCAGAAGTCTTGTGATTCCTTCTAAAGAATAACCAATTGAGAGTGGCTAGGAAGCAGGAGGCTCTCTCTAACTTTGCAGAAGTCTTGTGATTCCTTCTAAAAAATAACTAATGAAGAGTAGCTAGGGAGCAGGCTCTGAAGCCCTGCAGCACTAGTGGTAAAGCAGCCAAATGTCCCTTTGCAGACCCCTCACAGACTTCTCCCAACATGGCAATGAAACTTCTCACAGACTTGACGTCAAGTAAATTCAACACTAAAAGCCTAAGGCCTTTTGACAACCTTGTTGACAGCCTTGTTGTTGAAAAGGTGGCATGTACACAGAACGTATAGTTTTCCATTAAGAGTGAAGCCTTGTATTTAATGTCCAACTGTGAAGGTGATTTACTCACGACAACAATTAATGCTGTGTAATATTGCTTGATCTAGACCCAAACTCTTCTCAGACACAAACTTCATCTCCTTGTTACCAGTCCTCATGGTGGTTGTTATATTCTGCTCAAGATCTGGGACTGTCTCAGTACTGGGTCCAATCTTTGAGCCAGAAGACTGCTTACTAGACTGATCCTGTCCTCTCTGTGACTGTGGATTGAAAAGCACCATAATGAAATCACTCATGGCAAAATCTGATTACTGTGGTTTGTGTATGTGGCAACAGCTAAATGTGATATCAAGACTGCTGGATATTTTTCATTTTCATTCTCCATGGTTTGGATCAAAGTCAGTATCTGAGCAACTGCATACCTACCCCTCCCCTAACACAACAACAGTCAACTGATAACAATCTAGAGTTAATGTTGGGTTAGGGGAGGGGTAGGGGGACAGTTGCTTAGATACTGACATTGATCCAATGGTTTTATGACCTAAATGAAGTAGGGGTTCACAGAAATGCACATGGTGATCTTGACCCATTTTTTACCTGTGGTTTAAGAACCACAGAAGGGAAACCAAACTATGACAAAATGAAATTACAGTGCGCAAGTATGGCTGAACATTACATGGAGATTGATGGATATTTACCCTTTCCTTTCTTTGTGGTTAATATCAAAAGGAATCAGTTTGACCAACACAACCAATTAAAAAAGTATAAAAGTTCAGTTAACAAAACCCTATCATATTAGGTAAGTGTCCGATTGAGCCAGGAAAATTGAGTGGAGCAGAAGTTCGAAATTCTTACCTCAAGCAGGTATCTATCATCACACAAGTCTTCTGGGTCATCATACTGGGAATCCTTGGTGAAAACCAACTTCTCACCAACAATACCAAACAATTGAGGGAAGAACATTCCCTATACATGAATAAACAACTATCAGACAAGAAAACAACAACAATCTGATCTAACTCTTTGTGTTAAACCTTTACATCCTCTTTCCTATACATTTCCTTTGGTACTGACAAAGAAAACTCTGGTTAACAATCAAAACTTCTTAGGTTGGCAATCATTTCCTTTATTCTCATAATCTTAATGAACGATTCAGCAGCATAACTGTAAGGAGAAATTAGATGCTGGTCACTCTTAAGGGTTTGTAATGTTACTTTAGAACAAATCTTAAGATTTTATTTTTTAAAGACAAATGTTTGGCACAGTTTTAAATATTTTCATTTCATTTTTGTACCAGTCAGGCATTACTTCCAACAGTTTATTACTAAAGGGAGTAATTCTTCTCTAGAAAAACAAGATCTGAGGCTCTATCCACAAACCATTGGTGCTTCAATTGCCTCATCTCCAATCTTCAACTGGTATGAACGAGGGGTTTCAAAAGGACGATGAACTTGAAACTCATGCACTTGACCACCAACAATATCCTGAATACAAAGAATATACAACATCTGATATCCCACTTTCATAGTTGAAATAGAACATATCCTTAAACCAACCCCTTGAGGGTCCTTTCCACTGACTGTTGCCCTGTTGCACAAAATTTTCTCTTGAATATTGTACAATTCAAAACACTACTTGAATAGGCTTCATAAAATAGAAAAGATAAATTGTACCACTAAACTGACAGAGAAACTTGAAAAAACTGTAGGATAGCATTTTGTAATAAACTAACATTCCATTCAACAGGAATAGTAACATTATTGGTCATTCTGTGCTACAGAAGCTGGGAGAAGTTTTAACAGCAATGACCAGCTAGGATTGCACAACTAGATCTTAGCCAACCATGAAAGAATTCAAGCTTTTTTGAACAGGCACATCTATTTAGTATTTTTTTTATCTTACTTATTTGCATAACTGTACCTGACTAAGATGGCAAAATGTTTCCTTTAACTCATGCAGAAGAAGTATGTCAAGTCTGTTGTTGGAATCACACTCTTTGTAGGGAAAGTTGACCTAGATGAAAATTATATAATTTATATTATGAACATTTCAGAAAGAAACACTATTGTTATTAGTTCTACAACGGTTTTAAATTTAATGTCTGGCCTTTGAAATCACCTAATTGAGCTACACTCAGGGCATAACTTACTGTTAATATAATATAATATCAACAAGTTTATTCTTGAGATTTGGGTCGTTGTTGAAATCTTTCCAAAAATTTTCTCCATGTTCCCATACCAACCTAATATCTTTATGCTTTTTATTGTTTCTACCTTCTTTTTTAAGCTTATCATGCTAACATTTTCTCTCAGGTTAAATATAATCTTTGTGACATGAAAACAATGACTCAGTAAACTTTAAACCAAAAAATTTACCTATGGAGACCAGAAGCAGAGCTGAATGTACCACTCTACGATTAGATAATTTAAAAGCAAAACCCACTGAGCTCCTTTAATGAGCACTATTTAAAGTATGAATGGGAGGCATGTCCCCATGGTCAGCCAAAGTCACAAAGTCTTGGCCAATGAGTCCTCAACAAGGTCAAGACCCTCTATTTTCACAGTGCCTCAGTCTCCATTCATGAGTATTCGTGGGTACTAGGAAACTGTCAGTGGAACCCAAGGAAAGGCTGGGCATAAGGTAATCTCTCATGGGCCAACATCCTATTCATGTAATCCCTACCTGTGACAGAAACCTGGACCCATTCTCTTACTGCTGTACCTTTTATGAGACTTGCAGAGTACTCACCCTTCTTAGCAGCCAGAAAAAGGCTCTGGTTATATCTCTTCCTCCATACTGAAGCCATAGTCTAAAATGCATCAACTTGTCAGTTATATTATATTTTGATACAGTAACTGATTATCAATAATAATACTTATTATTATTATTATTATAATTATTATTACGATCATATCTATTTCAGAATAGGCTTCAATCAACCCTTTAATGTCTTCATGCAAAAACACAAATGAAATCTTTTTGTCACCCACATAAATTTGTTACTTACAGACATGTAGAGAGGAGAAAAGACTTCAAAATGGTAAATAACAAGAATCAAAATGCTAGCATGATGTGGAAAAGAAGTGAAAATATAAAAAAATTCCATAATGACTCCATGTCAAAGATGTCCTTTTGAACATTGAAAATAAAACTGAAAAAAAATTCTTGTGTGCTGGCAGTTCTGAGTCAAAATTTTACATTGCACAGTGTACATGTTTGCAAGACCAGCCATCAAAATGTTATTACCGTGAACTAGGGATGACCAAGCCATCTTCTACACAACAAATACTAGTTTTCTCATCTCCAACATCAACAACACAAGCAGCACTTAGGCCACAACCAAATACAGAGGACACTGACTCCTGTAATAAATGAAGAAAAGCAAATCATATCATATGTCAAAACATTGAAATTCTTTGAATGCAAGCTACAAACAAATAAATACAACTGAAGGGACTCCGAGAACAAACTAAATGTTCGATTACTGACATAAATTATTTCAAAGGTAATTTCAGTGATAGTGGCAGTTCATTGTGGAATAGCCTTCCTTCTGAGGGTAGGTGCATGGAATCCCTTGGGTCATTTAAACATGCAATCAGCAATGCTGTATAAGGAAGGCATTCACCAAAAGCAGCTTCTCAATGTCATGTAGTTCATAGTTACAGTTGTGTGCCAGTAGTTATAGTTTGATCCCTTTGGTAAATAGCTGATGAATTGCCAGTGGTGAAATAAAGTTTATTGACTGATTGATTGATTGACTTTAACACACTTAGTGCTAAATTTGTTAATATGAAACTGGAGGGAAATAGCAAGATTTGATTGTGCATAATCATTCAACTGATAAACAGAGGGACATAGGGGTTGATCTTATTTTTCAACTATACAATAAATCTCTCAATGACTATAAGGATTCTTAATCTGCACTCTGGTTGTTAGAGTGAAATATGACTCACAGTAAAGCCAAAAGTAAAAGTATTAGCAAAACCACATGTCAAACTGTGAAAACCCAAATACAACTCATGAAGAACTATATGAAACCAATGTATAACACGTCTTCAGGCATTATGATAACCCTTTCACTCTCAGCAGTGATTAACCTATAACAGTACTTCTCCCTATAATAACCATACATTCTCCAGACAATATGTAATAAGAATACTCCTACCTATCAGAGAGAAATTTTTATCTTGATCTAACACTAAATTCTCAAAAGTAATTAACAAGGAAATGCAAAGCTCCTCCAAGAGAGAATTCATTTAACAGTCAGATCTTGGGAGTGAAAGGGTTAACCTAAAACCAGAATATTTTGACTGAACTTCCTACAGCTGTAACCTACAGGTTATTGCTGAGGAGTGAACTTGCCTTGGTGTACACTAAAATTCAAACCTGAATGTCTCCAAGCCCCTAATACCTAGAACTTTTTTGGTGCTCCTGAGGAAACCTTGGACTCTACTGTAAATTATAGTGGAGAATCCAAACAATATTATGTTCTGACCTGGTGAATGATAGCCGATGAGAATTGAAGATTACAAAGGAGGATGTTCATCATCTCTTTGATGTGATTCTTATCCAAAGAATCAGGAACCACTAGAACAGCCCGATAATACTGAATAAACAAAAAATACCAGACCAAAAATGATAGGGTTTATATAATCTTAATGAGCTCTAGAACAAGCAAAAGAGAATGGTGATGGTACTCAGAAAATTTTTAGATGAGATCAAATGGCCAATTTCCAAGGTTTAACTCCATATCAAACTTTTCCATTACCACTTTTCACAAGCCAATGATAAGTTTAATATTAACAAGCTAATAGTGCTTTCTTTTAGACTTAGGACCATAAAACCAGATTTCACCAATAATTGAAATGGCCAATCAGAAGGAAAACAAAAATCAAAAGAGGCCAATAAGAATGCAAAGTCAAGTCTCAGTAGTAGGAAAATGTCCCAGGTCTTAGCTTTGCATCTGATTGGCTCGGAAGGTGAGCAAAGATTTCTAAGCCAATCACAGGGAAGAATGAGGGAAACCCAGTGCAATCCAAGAATACCCTAAATTGTAAATTGCTTAAACTGCACAACATCAGGCATTAATGTACATAGAGATGTTTTATCAAAGAACAATAATTAGAAGTCTAGATGCTACACCAAAATCCATAATACGCATTTATATAATCAGTAATATTTAGTCCATGTAAAGCTATCAAATATTCACTAATTCATTTATTTGTTTTGAAAGTACTCAGGGTAAAATAACACACTTTTCAGAAATCTTGAATAATTTAAGCAATAAGAATTAAAGTACGAACACTAACCCCCAGATCTCGCAGTGGGATAGTCAGGCATGTCTGTATGGCATATGCCCACAAGGCCTCCAGATCAGCACAGACAGCAGTGAGTGACCCCCCTGGCCCACTGTGTAGGTTCAGATGCCCCCCTTTCATTGGCCAATGAAGTGAGTATGGTTCATCTGGATGAATGTATAGAGCCTGCAACAAATCCAATAAAATACCAGTTGGTTTAAGAAATACACACCAAGTCAATTCTGTTTTAACCACAACACTGTTGAACAACCATTTGCATTGAGCAATTACATTTTGGAGGTTGAATGTTCTCATTGATGGTCAGGTACTGTTTCTAAAAAACTTTCTCACAGCCCAGTATTGTTCAAATTTCTCAAGTGATGTAGTTGTTCTAAGAAAGCTGAATATTCATCCTCATCAGCTAAATTTCTTTACAACATACCAAACACACTATTTTAGCTCTACATCCAGCAAAGAAAAACTAGTAAAAATAATACTAACAGGTTCTCCAGCTATAACAGGAGGTGCTGAGCTTGTGTCTGTCCACTTGATTGACGACTCCTCATCACGATGGTGCTCAGCTTCAATCTTTGAATTAAATGCTGCAACCTGTGGACACAGCCTCATTCATCAAGTAAACGCTTAACTCTCAGGATTGACCAATAATGTAATTTATACTCATAGTATTACTACAGAGTCAAGTAGAGTTGGAGTGATAAGCAAAAAGTATGTGTAGAATATCAACTAGGCATTATATTGCCTGATTCAACATGATATTCTCATCATTACTTTTTGGTAAAATTTACAACAGACAGCAAAGAGAATTTACAGTCAGATCTAGAGAGTCAAAAAATTAATGCAGCATGGGTGTAAGTGCCCCTATAGCACGAGTTTCTGTTCATTGTTTGATTTGGTTAATAATCTTTGAAGTCACAGACTTTATAGGTGGCTCATCATGCACTCTTAAGTGTAATTCAATATATTTGAAAAAAGGCCCTTTGATCAGTTTTTGGTAAGCACTCATGCTCATAAGGAAAGAAATTAGTAAAGAAAAGGAAGGAAAGGTTCAATCGATATCAACTCTTGCCAGATCCGGAATAATGTAAGTTTGATTTAACTGAAGCATTTCTTAATCCATTTGCGTGTCCCTAATTTCTTAAATCAATTTTTAGTTTCACGGTATAATACAGTAAAGATCCCAATCAGAAAGGAGATTCTCTTGCTCAAAAGCTTGATTCAAGGAAAATAATTATATTGCTTCTAACCTGAGAAACTGTAGTTTGATGTTTTCGTGAACCAGATGAAGTTTTCCTTGACCATATTGCTTGCTCAATCACACTAAGTGCAAGTTCTTTCTGTGTTTCACTGTCAGGATGATCAAGTCCATCCCTGACAAGTAAGGTTTGATCTGGAATGTCAACAGTGCACTGCTGAGGTTTCCTCCGGGCAATGACATGAGGAATGCTTTGTGGTAGGTGGTCAGTAGCACGTCCCAGCCACATCAATGTGGAACCAGGGTGAAGAATCACAACAGTTGAAGCCTGAAGAGGCTGAAAAAGATAGCAAATTTCAAGATATTTGTTCTTGAAAGTACTCCACCTGCCATACATTTAATTTCACAAATGAACAGTATTTTGCTCATAGTGCAACTGGTATTTCTATAAATCTTTGAGGTAGCTCCCTAAAAAGCATGTAGTTAATAATTTGATGTAAACATATTGGAACATTTTTTTTTCAAATATTTTGGAGATAATTTGAAATTGACGAAAATTTTAAATTGTTTACTTCTATATTCTTTGTGCTCAAAAAAAAGAAAGGAAATCAACTCCGTTTCTGTAAACTTCACTGTATTTGTACGCGCTTTTATATTGCAGCATACTGCTACTTCTTAACCTTCATTTGATATAAGTTTCATACGATTTCATAAACATCGGCGAAAATCACTTGGCGGAAGTAACTCTTGTATAGCTGTACGCATTAACTGATCATAATCTACGTAATATCAACGAGTTCTATTTCATTTAAACATTCCATAATTGAGATGCTACACATAACTTCCGAGTCCCTTTACCATTCTGCAATATGGTACTACATCTTAACTTTAATTTGATATAAGTTTTATACGACAGGCTACACATAACGTCTGTGTCAAATCGCCACCTTGAAGAGTTGACTCTCAGTGCTGGCGAGTTTGGTGGTGGCAAGTTTGTTGTGGAGGCTAATTGACCGGATACCATTTAATTACATCAAACCTAAAAGTATTATGCAATTTTAGCTTGACGCCAGGAGATTCCTCGACATGCCCACGGAGAACTCTTCTTGGGAGTGATCGAGTGACCTGTAAATTGTCTGTTAGCTAGAGTTAATTTTAACAAGAGAGAGGAAAGATTGAATGATACCTCGACTGATTCAGCAGGAGCCGGTCGTTCAACTTTTACTCCACGAGGCATTTCTGGTGAAGCTTTCCTTTTCCCTAGAAGCTTTCTAACAAAAGAAACAAAAGTCCCCCAAAACCGCCATTTTGATTCTTTTACTTGAGCCTGCAGTATTTTGCACAGTTTTGACGTTCTTACTCCAAATTGAATGTTGTAAGAACTCATAAAGTGAGACTTATTCCCAGAACATGACTATTACACCACGTAATTATTAGAAAAGTGGGTTCATCCTTAACGGCAAGATGGCGGACGGAGGCACCGCGGAGGAAAGCCTCGAATTGGCAGACAGGCAACGGAAAATATCTGCTGCAACACAACCTGTTTCTGTGGATAATCATAGTTCCCAGCCACAGAAGAGTGAAGCTGCGAAGAAATCTTTGAAAAAGAAAGGTTAGTAGCGTAATGACATTACGTTTTTTGTTGCTGAATTGGAGAGCGGAATTGGAGGAAATCAGCACAATTTCTGTGAAACCCCTAAAACCACATCTAATTTTTTAGGCATTGTTATCACTTTTACATCAAAATCAAGCTGTGAAGTAAATTTTCCGTATTTCAATCTATATCTAAACTTCGAGGTCAACTGACGACATGTTGCAGCATATCCCAGAAAGTTAGAAAATGAAAAAATAGTAAAAAAGTTATAAGCTTTCAGTTAAGTCGCTTAAACTACATCTTACTTTTCTCTGTGATGTCATGATCGTCGTAAATGATCGTGCATGTTGTTGTTGGTATTTCTGCAGTGGAAGTTTTACTAAAGGCTGCTGGAGATGCCCCTATTATGGTGAAAAAGAAGTGGGTAGTGGATGGATCAAAGCAAGTCTCATACATTATAGAATTTATTAGGAAATATATCAAGTGTGAACCACAAGACTCACTGGTGAGTTCATTCCTTTGATCCTCAGTAGTGAAGTAAGCTCAGAAACTTGACTTAAAGCTTTTTGTACTTATGGGTGTCAGTTATAGCCTGTACCAGGCACTTGGTCAATGGAGACAAGCAAATATTTGTTTTTGAAAATACTGTTATGTGTAAAATAGATGGGAGGGGGAATAAAAATGTAACTACTACGTCCATCATCACTGCCAACTGAGGGCTTGGTGTAAGGGTATGTTAGCCTTGGGTTAGGCTATTCCAGGGAAGGTTGGGTGGTGATCTGCTCCAGAAGCCTTACAAAGCCTGACCTTGTTTAGGTCAATATTCATTCTTTTTGTGTCCTTGTCAGAAAAAAAGATTTAGACTGCGATACATCAATCTCATCCAACCAAGTCTAATACATATTCATACATTCAGACAGATTTTTTACTTGATGAATTAATCTGTTAACTCCCAAGATCAAAATATAAATTCTCTGCACTGTCTTTTACATATTTCCTTTAATTAGTTCTCTGAGAGTTGGTGTTAAATCAAACAATGATCTTTAGTTGATATTTTACTTTCTTAACATCACCCTTCTGCTTGAAAATGTAGAGATACAATTAGCCCTTGAACTCTCAAGATCTTATTGTTAATTCTTCCCTCTTGCTGCCACACATTTCCTAGCCATGTGAATTTGGTTTTAAATCAAGATAACAGCTTCTGACTGATAAGTTTGAGTATTCTCGTAACCTGTGTGCTGGGTAGTACACAAATATTACAAGGAGAGGTTACATGTTAATCCCTTTTGGGACTAAAAGGGCTAAGGGAAATTCCTCTATGGTCTCTCATTGAACTGAAGGGGTTATAATTTTAAAAAAATATATTAGTATCACACACACACAATACATTGCCACACTCTCACCCTGTTTCCTTGTTTAGACTTCTGGTTCAGAAAATCAGCCTGCTCATGAGGCTAAATTGTCAGAGTGTAGACCCTGTTTAAAAATCAAAAGCTGTAAAATTTACCCAGTTCGAAAGCACATTACTGTTGGGCTAAACAGACATTTCCTAGGAAGTGCTAGTGGAGCATTGCTGTCACTTTAAACTGTGGAGAAAACTTTGTTCTTGCATGTAACCCTCAGTCTCCAATATGTGTTCTAATGTGTTTCTTCTCAGTTTGTTTATGTAGGTCAGTGTTTTGCACCGACTCCTGATCAGACATTACAGAATTTATACGATGTGAGTAGAGTGGGTTAACAATAATCATTAAACATTTGTAAGGGGTTATTCTTAAGGAGGATTAAGTACAAGTGGATAGAGATTTGTCCAGTAGATATAGCATTAACCATCCTTCAAACAGTGGTTGCCAGGTTACCATGATAGTGTACCAATAGCCTTACATATTTCTGAGTGGAGAGGGATACTGTATGAGTAAGCTGGCGTCTCTAAAAACATAATGCAATGACCCCACCAGGGTTCCAACCCAGACCTCCTGATATGCAGCTCAGTGTAATAACAACCATCCCACTCCATCTCCCATACAAGAAAATGAACCCCCCCTCCCTCTCCCCCTACCACCAGGACTTGTTTGACTTTTTGTTATGAGCATGACCTCTTCACTTCTTTGATTTTATTTGTAGTTTTCTCCCTAATGGTTTTATCCATTTCTTTGTAGATATTTAAGAGAATTTTGTATAGAATCTGAGTATTACCCCATAGTTAATGAGTTTGTATTTTCTTGTAACTTGTTTGCTGGGTAAATATTAGTGTTACTTTTAGAGTAAATTACATTTTCATCACTTCTGGAAGTCAGAGGATTGATTATAACACAATTTATTGCAGCAGCTTGAGATATGACTGAATGGGGTCTGACACATTGATAATCTGATGACATTTTACTGAATGAAGTTAATTATTCTTTGTTTTAGTGTTTTGGAGCAGATGGAAAGTTAGTCCTTCATTACTGCAAGACACAAGCTTGGGGATAATTGAGCTCTACAGTATTCAACACTTTATTTTTCCAAAAATGTTATTAATAAACAGATCATGTGATAGGTAGGGAGTGGAACTTTTTGGACATAAGGAAAATTTAAGTCTTAAGGGAGAGAGTTTTCACAGCCATCATGTTTGAGGTTCAAAAATCAGAAAATAAGAGCATCCTTTAAAGAATGAGTGGGATTTCAAGTGGAATTCAACCTTTCAGCCTCTTTTTTAAATAAACCGTTTTAGTTTAATTTTTGAATTTTTCTGAAGTATACAAAGTTCAAAACAACATCCCTAATTTTACTACTTCTATAGAGCCATATGTTTTTGAAACATAGAGAAGACTGGTCATTTACTCTGTACTCTATTTTGCCTGATTTGCAAAAAAGAGTGCAATGGACTATTTCTTGTCAAGGAATTTCCCCAAAAAAAGATTGTATGTGTATGTATTTCTCATCTTAAATAAACTGAGAGTATGTAAATATGATAAGATATTTTGTATTATAATAATTGAATAAAACCATGAAATAATCTTGAATTTTTGTTCTGTTTTGTTTTGGTTTTTTCTCAATTTTAGAGCTCTATGGGTTATTCCTTACAATTTTTTTTTTATTACAATAGAAGAAGCTTGCTTTCCAGGAAATTATAACACAACACCTTGTGATTTAAGCAATACTGTGGTGGAAATCACTTCAACCACAATTAAGGAGTTTTCCAGAACTCAATCATTAAATTTTCACATCTCCCAACCATGAAATGTCTTTAATACAATGGCATGCAATGTGTTCAAACAAGGTAAAAAATGTAACAAAACTAAACACAATGTCCATGGTCAGTTGCAACAACTACCAACTCACTGAATTTAAGCCCCCACCCTTGATATAAATTTTACTGATTTTCACCTTCTCCATCCTTATCACCAAAAAAGGGTTAAGTCTGTACTTGAGCCTATTGGCCCTTTAAGCTGGAGCTTATCCTAGTTTCCAAGTAGCATGAAGTAATTAGGAGTACTATTACTTCCCCCCTGGATGAGATGCTAGTCCATTGCAAGGTTACCCCTCCAGCATTTAATCAGGCTTCTCTGATAATTTACTGCTTCCCATTCATACTCCTGGGCCAAGTTGTTTGAAGGCCTAGTAGTGCTAACCCAGGGTTAAATTTTAATCCAGGTTTCTCTGTTCCTTGGTTTAAAAGCCTTTTATCAAATAATTTTCTCTTTAATTTTATACAGAATCCAGTCATCAAATTGTTGACAAAAAGAATTCTGCTTAATTTACTTTTAAAGCTTTCAGATCTGAAACCAAATTCCACACTAACCCTGAGTTATCTTAACCCACCCTTGAAAAACCCACCAGTAGGGGGAGAGGCTCTGTAAAGTAAGGCATCTTGTCAGGTCCCCTTGACCTAGAGTCCAGTACACTTACTGATTGGACCACTGCGTTTCCCACATCGAAACCCGAAGGAAAACTCAGACATAACCATTTTTTTTCCTTTTTTGGCGCTTTTTAAGTATTTTCTATGTTTACTAACATGTTCGTTCTTTAAACTTTTGGTGACGAACTTTACACAGGGGCAAAAGTCTTTTCATGCGAATCAGCTGACCAGTGGCAAATCAGATCACTCATTCATAACTGATCACTCGGAAGGCTGAGACAAAGCGGCGATGGGGGTGAACCGGCAAAAGCGGAAAATATTCAGAAGTTAGCGTAAAGTGCATGTTATTATGATGGAAGTAGAAACAGATATCCTAAGGGGACAGTTTGAACGGCTGCCAACCAAAAGGAAAAACTCTGTGATTCTTTCAAAGACATCTCTCACCTACGGTGGAGGCAGGGATGGTTGCTGCGTTTGTCTGGGGCAGCATGGCTCTCTGTCAATAGTGACAACGAAAGTGGTTGATATTTACGGCGCGAAGGCGTACCAAGGGCCTGAAGGCGATACTGCTGCTTACTTTCAAGTGTATTCTTGTCCTAGGTATGAAAAGAAACGAGTACGACAAAAAGTCTGTTTTAGGGTGTCTTCCTCTGATAGCGAAGAGGGTAACATTGCGATAGCGGAACAATGGGTTCGAACTATTTTATGGTTAATCAAAGATCCAGAGAGGAATTTGAGCTGCGAACAAGGTAAGACGACTCAGGAGATCTGTCATATGAAAGGGGGAAAGGTTTTTTCCGTGCAAGCTTTCAGTTTTTGGTAGAACTTACTTTAGGTTAATATATTTTGCTTCAAGGAATACGAAGTCACGAGTTGTGTAGATATCTCCAAGTCACGAGATCAATTGTTTGCTCCTTATTTGTTTCGAACTTGTCTTCACAAATAGTAGAACACAACGTAGAGGTGGGCGATGGAATAGAGGAAAACGCTCGTTACTGAGAGTTTACTCCTCACCAACACAGAAGGGAATAAAATGCAGTGAGAGGAGAGTATTATCGATTTGTGTTTTCAAACAAGATGTAAAGAGGATTACGTAATTTTAAGCAGTGTAAAGGACATTCTGAATATTCTCTATCATTTGGGATCTTTATTAAGAAATGTAGGCACAGGAGAATGATGTGAAGTAGGTGGAGGACATCCTCCACATTGCGTCAAAAGGTGCTCTGGTCATCTGTCTGTCGGCCAATTATAAACCTCTTAAGAATTTTTAGGCTAGATGCTCAAAACCAGACTTGAAATTTGATGGTATAATCTGTCTAAAAACTCTCCTTAACCCTTTAACTCCCAAAAATCCGTTAGTAATTCTCCTTACCATCTGTCATGCAATTTATGTAATGTTAGTTTGGAGAATTTGAATTTGGACCAACCAATAATGCCCTAATTGATATTTTCCTTTATTCTCATTACTTGTCTGCTTCACATTGTATTGATAGTGTAAGGAGAAATTCTTTCAAGATCACTAGTGGGACTTAAAGGGTTAAACCTCCTTGGAAGTAACTTGGATATAAAGATTTAAAATGTCTGAAAGGCCAGCGGGCTCAAAACTGGGCTTAATTTCCACTGCTCTCTTGTGTCTGATCTTTGCTCCTTGCTGAGAAGAGTGGGTTTAAGAGGAAGGAGCACAGGCTCATATTCCTAAACAGCAGCTGGTAATTGACCCTAGCTCAAAACCAGACACAAAAATGTTGGGTATGAAAACTCTTGTAATGCAACTGTCAAGTTTTTAGATTGAGTGTTTGGATCAGATGAAATCCATGCAGCTTTTCACTTCTCAGATTATTTTATAGTTATATGGATGTTGTTTTGATACATTTTACAGAAGAAAGGACTCTTCCCGCTTCCCGCAAACTTCTGATACTTATCAACCCGTTTAGTGGATCTGGAAAAAGCGTGAGAATCTTTCATGAACATGTGGAGCCAATGTTGAATGAGGCAGAATTAGAATTTAACACCATAACAACAGGTAATTTATTCTGTTGGCATACAGTAAACCTATTCAATTAAAAATTGCATACTAATTATCCCCTTCCACACCATTCTTGCATGAAGCAACAAATAAACAAGACAGTGAATCTGTTTGGGCATCTTTAATGAGGAAACAAGGAGCCCCCAAGGACTCAAGAAAAGGGAGGGTAAAGAAACATCTGCAATGTCAGAACGAACAAAACAAAGTGGTGATATGTCATCCAAATGTTAGTAAACAGCTAGCCAGGTGCAGCATGTTGGCCTGGGGCTAATTTAGTCATTTCTATTGGAGTATGAACCCTGTGGGTGAGCATCTCCATGGTACCAGTATATTGAGTTAAATATCAATATCAATACCTCCAGCTGTAGTCTTTGAAAACTTTTTTCTTTTTGGAAAGTGTAATTTCCTAGGACAAATATCCTGGCACATTTTTGTTCCAAAAAGAGGCTTTTGTTTATTTAACTTGTGTATTTTTGCAAATTACTTTTCAGAATATGCTGGTCATGCAGGAGAGATGATTTTGTCAATGAACCTTCTTGATGTTGATGGGATTGTTATTTGTTCAGGAGATGGCTTAGTGTATGAAGTATGTTTATTCAATTATTCCTCAATGATATCCTGGCTGTTCTGAGTACTTCTCAAAAAGTACTCCATTTTAGATTCACAACAAATTTTTAAATTTAGGTCATAAATGGTTTGATGAAACGTCCTGATTGGGAAGCTGCAATAAATATTCCCTTGGGAGTCATACCAACTGGTTCTGGAAATGCTCTTTGTCTTTCTGCACTTTTTGCTACAGGGTAAGTTAAAAATGCTAATTTTTGAGACTTTTATTATTTTTGTGCTTCTCTGCTTGTGGCTCTCTAGGTTTTGTTGTTGCCAGTGGAGATAAAATTTGAGCAAAAGAATCTTAAAAATATATTTGATTTAGGAAAAAACTCTTGTCAGTGTTCAGTATATATTCTTAAAGGTAAGAATAATCAGGTGGCTTAATTATTCACCATGAGGATTTTTTTAAAAAGTGAATATATAAATAGTGCCCTTTTTCTTGTTCGAATGGTGACTACAGTGTAATAATATTGTTGAATAAACAGATGCCTGTTTCAGGAAGGGCAATGTCACTGTACTGATAAATAATTTTTCATTATGTTTTTAGGGAGCCAAATGATGTGACAAGTGCCATTTTTGGTATTATTCGTGGGAATCTTATGGATTTAGACATCTGTTCTGTGATAACACCAACAGAAAAGTTGTATGCATTTCTCTCTGTGACTTGGGGATTAGTTTCTGATGTTGACATTGAATCGGAGAGATACAGATTTCTAGGAGAGACAAGATTTCTTATCGGCACAGTAGCAAGAATTATTGGACTGCGCAAATACCGAGGGCGCCTTTCATATTTGCCCGCCGATGATATAAACGGTGGAGAGGATAATTTAGCATATAACTTTACCCCAAGGGAAGATGTTAGCAGTAGTGCAGCAGAATGTGATGTAACATCCCTCTCTCAACACCAGGCGCACATTCAGGAGAATTTAAATGGTGTGTTCAGCAAACGCATCAGTGGAAATTTTTCAAGCCTGGGGCCATCAGATCATCTTCTTCCCCCCCTGAGTTCAGAACTGCCTCCAAGCTGGAAGGTTGTGGAAGGAGAGTTTATCCTTGGATGCCCTGTGTTTTTGAGTCACCTAGGCACAGACCTGATGGCAAACCCAGATGGAAAGTTTGGCGATGGGTTGATGGGAATCTTTTATGTTAGATCAACTACTGGCCGAATGGCTCTTCTGGATCTGTTTGGCAAAATGAAGGATGGATCACACGTTCTCAGCCATCATGTGGAGTATGTTAGAGCCTATGCTTTCCGTTTAGAACCAGACACTAGTCAGACTGGAAACTTAGTTGTTGATGGCGAGAAAATTGACTATGTTCCAATCCAGGGACAAATTCATAAGTCTCTTGCCAAGTTGATGTGCGTAACACCACCACCTAAAATGTAGGGATTTTTCAATTACATTAGAAATTATCAAATAGTTACATTTATGAATGTTGAACTTGGTTATTGAGATAATTGAATTTCACAGTTAAGTAAAACTGTGGGTAGATTTTAGCTAGGGACTGATTTAAGAATTTAAGGGGAATGAAACTGGGGTCTGGTCAATTGTCTATTCCTTTATATTTAAGAATTTTTTAACTTTTAAAAAGGCTACCTATGAATATGGTGGAACTAATGACTATTATAATGTTAACAAGACTTTTTACCTTTTAATTCAACGAATTTTATATTTTTTGAAAAACATTCAACATATTATTTATAATGATGCAGAGATAATCTTCAAGATGAGCTTTTTATTTCAATTTTATTACTGCACAACCTATGTAATTGAAATTTACCAGAAACAGATGTGCAATAAAGTGAGTAAATGCATTTGATAATTTATTAATCAAAGTTAATTAGGCATTACAGATCTGGGAATTCTTCATCTACTTTACAGAATTCTCAGCATAAATTTCAATGGCATGAGCTAGTTTCTCTTCAGGAAAGGAAATCATTCTTTTGTCACTTTACACAATTCTCCTGCTAAGTACTGCATTTCTAAATGGAGGCACGGAATCAAGTAAATTTCTTTTTAAAATATTAGTTACCGGTAAGTCAATAAAAAATTGCTTGAATATGTTTGGTTCTTCAGACACGGTAATTTTGTATTATCAACAAATTGATGACGTAAATTTACCACCGTCAAGAGTTTAAAAGCTGACGTTTCAAGCTAACGATTAGCTAACGCTCGAAACGTCAGCTTTTAAATTCTTTACGGTGGCAAATTTACGTTATCAACTCAGTGATAATAAATTACCCTGTTATACTTTCCCACCGACGCAGCACCACAGTTTCTTATGAAACTTACCCCCATTATTCATTTGTCTTTTAAAACACCCCCTCTTTGTGGCTTAATAGTCAGTTTCAAGTCCAAACCTGTGAGAGATTATTCAGCATTAATTGATTTCAGGTTGATTTTTTGCGATAAGTGACAGATGATCGACCAATAGGATCATTAAAATAGGAGAGGCCAGGGCGTGAGACGTGAAGAACTGCAAACTCTTTAGTCTCATTTCCGACAAATCATTTGATTGCAAGCACCTGTAAGCCAAATCACTTTTAGTGGTAGAACGGTTCAGTTTTCGTCACAGATGTCTCTAGAGGTAGTGGTATGTTCACTTGTAAATCTAAGTAATTAGTAATTGGCTAGCTTTGGTACGCTAATTGAGTTTTACTGGCTGATGTCAGAAATTTAAAGCTAATTGCAAGTGGACATTAACCGCTACCTCTAAAAGTATATGTGACCAAAACTTAACTGTTTAACCCTTAAAAGTGACCAGCATGGTATCACTCTTTACATTATCGCTAGTGTATCAAACATTTAGGCCGCAGGGTTAGTCAGTATCGCAGAAATAATAAAGACAGCAGGGTGAATATTCATTTTTATCTTCGGGTGTAAAAGGACCAGGCTTCTTTGGTGGCTTTCATCATGGGAATTGATCGGAATGATGTGCATGGCTGTATGTTCAATATGAATATTCGTGTTGTTAAACGTATCTAAGTAATGTGAAAACTTATTGAAGTGGTTGCGAATCGTGGTCACATGACAAGTATATGAAGAGACTATAAACGTTCGAACTCGTAAAATCACTAGAGAAAGGTGTCGCTTAGACGAGGAAGAAGGTGCTTGGGTAAAGGACGAGGATAACTTGACGAGAATTTGAAGCTTTACCCAACTATTATTTAAAAGAGCACGAACACTCTTAACTTCCTGTTGTCATCCGCATCAGACAAATAAGTTTGTGCTGTTTGGTTCGTTTCTTTACTTTTATTTTAGATCATGCGCCAATGAGAGGGAAATGATCTAATAGCACACCAGATTTCTGTTAGGTCTGACTTTGAGGGCCACCCGATTTTCGTGCCGAGGACCTGCCGACCCAGAGAGCCCATGGGCTTTGGGTGAGAACAGGCGTGATAACCCAGAAGTTCTATGTTACGCAGACAGCACACGTACTAATTTCGTCCAACCTAAATAGTGCTTCCCCCAAAACGAATTTTAAAGAAAGAGTATCCAAGTTACTTCGTCACCGAATTAAGGACATTCATCTTACTATAAAGCTCCGAAAAATATTCTGCTCACAGAGCTTGGTGTCACGTAAATAAATCTGATCGAATTTTGCCCGAAAAGCTGCACCGCCCTTTCTTTTTTAACTTGTAATTCTATTCTATTATTCAAGAGAGAGTTGTAAATAAAAAAAACCTTTTATTTGCCTCGTTCTCTACGTCGCATTTACTACAGATGTTCATCAGTGATCAGTGAACCAGAGACCAATTTTCATGGTGCCTCGTCTCCTTCGCCGACGCTCCTTCGGCTAGTCGGGCATTCTTCGTCCACACAGGGAGACTTACCACGCTTACGCTGCTCAAGAAAGCTACATGGCCGCCACATCGCTAATCTTTCAGCTGCTTCAAAGACTCAACGTCGACCGGTACCACTTCTCTTTGGCCGGTCCTCTGACGAGAACCAATTTAGAAAATGTAACTTGACAACTACTCCAAGTGTACCTAAACGGGGTCCTACAGGTTTACGCAACTCCAATCTGTAAAGAAGAGGTGACAGCAAAGACACAGTGCGAGAGCCTGCTTCCTACCCTTCTACACTGCACCTCTCTGAAAATTCTTACCTCCGCCCCACACTACGTCGCCATCGTCACGTTTGAGCGTTCTCGACCACTTCTAACTACCCCTAGACGGATCTCCTAACATCTTCAAACTGTTCTTCTTATTACTACTGAGAATGTCAGTGGCATCGACCAGTTCAAAGACAACAATACACTCTAAGTATAAGCCAGACTTCCCTGCGATAATGTAAGTTGAATGCAAGTCAACGAACCATCGAGTAAAAGAGGCAAGTTCGTAAAGAAACTGTGACACTGCGTTGGTGGGAGAATATAACGGGGTACTTTAATGTTACCAGCTGAGTTGATAACATAAATTGGTCACCGTAAAGTTTTTAAAGGCTGACGTTTTGAGTGTCAGCCCTTCGTCAGAGCCAATCGCTTTGACGAAGGGCTAACGCTCGAAACGTCGGCCTTCTATCTCTGTGAACCATCTTCGATCCCACCTGCAATGCGATAAACTTTCTAAAATTTGCTAATCGTACGAGGTCCCCTTGGAATGTTTAGACGATCAAATTTTCCAATATGGAAGACTGAAGAAAGAATACATTGACCAAATTGAGCCAAAATTCGGAACACCATGCTATGAAAGGTAGATAGTTCAGATAACACATGATCCTCATGCTAATCATGGTTACCGCTAACTTGTGTGTGCATGTTACTTCCAGTGAGAATCTTTCTCGTATTTGCCAAATAGTTTGGAAGCGTTTTGTTAAAATGAGCCCCTTAAAGATTGTCCTTGTCACTTTTGGATAGAAAAAAAGTGGGCACTAATTAATTTTTACGCCAAATGAAATCTAAGAGGGGAGTTCCCTATCAGAGCCTCTTGAAGTGTCCCTTAATTTTCGCCCGAGGTGGTTGGGATATTTTGCTTAACGAAATATATTTTCCTGCACTTTTTCAAGCTGCGTATTTGACTTAGATTTGGAGGAAATTTTGGAAGTTGTGATAATCAATTGAGCTTTCAGGGGTTTAAAGGAACAGTAAGATTGACGAACAGCCACCAATCAGGAAACTGGACGGCAACAACGCCAACAGGAGTCTGCAACAGCATGGGCTCCTTCGGCAACAGCAGAAAACAGCAAAACACTGCATGACCAGTCAACCCACACAGCAAGTATAAATAAACTGCGCCTACAGGAAAGGTTGATATGATAATTTTAACATCAAATTGACAAAAAAAATAATAACTTGCAAATACCTTTACTTTCTAGAGCCTCCTCAAATAAGTCCAGTCAACCAGACTTACACAGCTTCTAAGATCTTTCCCCTTTCCTTGCAAAATTTCTCTAGTTTAGAAAATTAGGCAAGCTGATCCAGTCACCAAGATCTTAGTACCTCAGATAGAAAATTTCCCATTTAAGTCGGGGTAGAGAGGCAACACATGACTGCACCTTGTTCATCTCAGCCACTGAACTGAAATTTCCAAAATTTACTGTGCTAAGCTTGAAGTCTCACCTTAGAACCCAAGATGAAATTTGCAATAAGAAAAATCAACAAAATTTGTACTTAATATTGATCAGCCTGACTGCCACACCTAGATGAAGAGGCCCTAACTTACCTAATGTTTTTTCACACTAAGTACAGAAAATAGCCTAAATCAAACACTCATCACAAGGAGCATACTATAAACATAATTTTCAGAACTGAGTAACATCTCAATTCTTTCCAGCAGTTATTGTAAGAAAAAAATTATCTTTAACAACCACACAAAATTCAAACCACTCATTCAATGAAAAAAATTCCACATCAAGGAAAATCAATTAAAATGCTGATAAAAGCTCAAACTGGCCCATGCCAAGGCCATACTAGATAACAAAGTTATGAATGAATATGGTAAGATTATAACACACTCCAATGAAACACACAGGCTATTGCCATTATTTGGAGTTGATCACATGACTGTTCCTACCAACTCTTAATTTCGAAGGCCCAAAATACCAAACAATTCATATAAAATTAAAAAAATTTAAATCACACTAATGTCTATAAACACATCTCATGTAACTCTCAATATTTTAGTGTTTGACAAAACTTTTGCAACATTCTTTTAAAGCCCTTCAGTAAACAAGTCACTTACATTACCCTAAGAGAAAAAAATGAACTCTTTGCAGGTCTTTGTGAGCAGAGCCTAATCTCTACTGAGATAATGCATCTTGGCTAATAGACACATTGTTATGATTCTAGTTTCAAGAGCACCCTTACACATTTGTAGGAAACTCTACTTCTTGTCAAAATTTGAAGTATATAACCACTATTCTTGTTTTGCTGAAGTTCAACTCAAGAATATATACCTGGATTCTTGGGTCTAGAGAAGCTATGGTAACTTGAGAGAGTTTCTAACTAAATCTCTAAAAAAATTCTTTCCTCTACATTTATTCAAAATGGAAACAAAGAAACTAATTCTTAATTTGTTCGGTAGTAACTGGTGATTACACATAGTAAGGCAGAGAAAAAAATTAAAATTCAACTTCTAGTCATGCTTTGCAGACAAAGTATCCATGATCCTGGACAGCAGGGTTCCAAATAGAGTCCTCTGGGTTTTTTGCTAACACATAATAGTCACTGTTCTACACGAACCTCATACATTTCTGCACTAATGGGGTATTTGAAGGAGGAGCCATCACAAAGGTACTAGAAAACTGTTTTTTCCCTAATAAGCTAACAAGTGTGTGATATCAAAAGCACACTATAACTTTGGAATCTCTACCTAAAACAGAAGAATTCCCAGTCCATTCCCTCCATGCTCTGCAACAAAAGTCTACTCCCCATCTCCACAACAGCAACAAAGCCTGGAAGAGAATACTTTAAAAAACTGATTACTATAAATCGTTGAAGAAGTCTAAAGAAAGCCTGGGTTGATTAATCATAAGCATTGTTTTCTCTTCTTTCAGCATCAGCACTTTCTTGTTGTTGTTCCCCAGAAC